ATAAGACCTAGACTGTATGTGTCCATACATCATCATGACCGTTGCACTGATATTATGCCAGGCTTACTGCTGTTTTAGCCGAATGTTACTGCTGTAGAGTGAGTAGGTACCACATGGAAATGACCTGCAATGTAACTATCATCATCAGCATTGGCATCACTATCAGCGCTGCACAATCTCACAACCAAATCTGTCATTGGAGGCAGGGACATCCAACCAACAGGCACAACACCTTGCCATTGATTGGGTCGGTGGCAAACCGGCACCTGACCTCATACCATACTCTTAAGCACTATCGTCTGAATGCGACACTATCGGTCACAAAAATTTCCTTTCCCTAGCTTACAAAATATAAATCTGGATTATGATGGACTATGTAACATGTGTGGTATTCCCCGAGGCATGTGTGAGAAGGGGGCACAACTAGGAGCCACCTTGTTTACTTCCAAACTTTCCAAACCTTTGTTATTTTTCAGAGCTAGAGCAAGATCAAGATTTGCAAACGGATCTCGCTTCCATTCTGACCACACCGTACTAAAAAAACAGAGCTGAGTGAAGGTAGACGGAGAAACCAGGGAATGTCAACAGATGTAAAGAGAACGTGGAAAGGAGAATTGGGGAAAGAACAGCTGGCACAAGAACGAAAGGCGTTTTGAGAGTTACAACATATACTGTAGAAGAAGCGAAAGGGAAAGACTTGAGGAAGGGAGAAGGGAGGAATATTCTAGTGGAAGGTGACAGTTGTTGAGAGAGAACTCTTGGACATGGTCATAAAGGAGGGCTGGACGAGGAAGAGGAAGAGGAGTCGGAGATGGTAGGGGAAAAGGGCGCATGGATTCTATGAACAGAAATGTATTGCTGATACACTAGGATGTGACATTGGATATTCAATCGTTTATTTAAAATCCGAAGTGAAAAAACAGGAAGCTTCCTAACGGGAAGGAGAGCGTTACAATCCAAAAAATACAGAAGTGTGGAGCTCTTTCTTCTGTTTTGTAGCTAAAAACTTCACCTTCAGAGCGTTTATGCACCTAGGCTCAGAAAGTTACCATTTTCACTCGTCAACGGCAGCAGCAGGAGCAGCCTCGACAACCTCATCAACAACCGCGGGAGCCTGCACGGGAGCCGGTGCCAATTCCGCCTCGAATTTCCTAACGTAAGATGAAAGAGGAGGGCCGGAATACGCCTGTTCTTGCGGAGCGGGGTCTGATCCACCGAGAGCGAAGAGCACGGCTGCTGCACCGGCCAGCGCAGCGGCAGCGCCAACAACGTTCAGGACCACACCAGAGCTGCCGGAGCTACCCACATAGACGGTAGGCTGCAGACAGAGTACATACGTAGACAAAAATACAAATTGGAGATACCGATGACACCATTGCAATTGCTGATTTGTACCGGCTCTTTTCAATATATTGCAATCGACATTTCTGACAAGTACTAGTTCCATTCCCATTGTCCAATGGTGATTCGTCGCAAAGCTTGAGTTCGACAAAGCGTACGACTTAATTCTCACCTCAACGGCGTAAATGTTCTCTTGGCCGGCAGTGTCCTTCTCCACGTAGCCGGTGTAGTCGTTTCGGTTCGCACGCACAGTTATTCTCTGCAATGCCAGACAAGTGTGACACAATTGAGTTAGAATACAATAACCCTGACCTACAGCTTTCCAATTTTGAAATTGCCAAGCTCCGGACTGAAACTCTCTCTTGGGGTAACGACTATGATTAAGGAACGCAGAAGCTTACTCTTTGAGGAAATGACACGACAGCGGGCCCCTGTCGGAGGGATGACACATCGGCCTTCACGAGGGATCCAAGCGAGAGCTTGCACTGGAGAGAGGTAGCGGCCATGGCGAAAGAGTATAAGTTACGGTATACGTGCGTAGACAAGGGTTGGTAACGTGGAGGACACAGCTACCGGTAGACTAAATTATTTCGGACAGAGAAGTTCAGCGATACGATATTGGAAATTTACTACCAGGTTAGTACAACAAACTGGTATGAGAGTAACCTTTATGTGTTCACCAGTTGGGAGCTTGCCTTCGATCGATGATCGCCTAGAAATGAGCGACAAAAACAGGTGAAAGGAGATGAACATGCAAGAGCAGATAGCGCGACGCTGAGCTGTCAAGAAACACGTCACCAGATCTACTGAAGTGAAATAGACGGTTTGAGTGAGCCACCATGACCACGTGGCGGAAGCAAGTCCACCTTCAGGTGGCTGGTCTGCCCTGGAGTGACACAGCAGGAGCACGATGATTCGTGTTTGCCCTGTCCACGTTCCTTCCCGCGAAGGCTTCCCAGGTTTGAGGCAGTTGTTTTTCTTCGTCCAATTGGCGGCAAACCGCGCTATATCCTTGCTATGAACTGCACATGAGTTGCCTCTGCTTCCTACAAGACGATCGGTTTCCTTCCTATATTATGAACTTGTTATGTCGGGAAACAATGTAGGTTTGCTTCCTATCTTATGAACTTGTCATTTTATCAATAATTCCGTATATCCGCTGTTGAGGATTGTGCAAATTAGCTAAACCTAGAATACATGTACTGGAACATAAGCATGTGGTGGAAACGCTCTTCACTAAAAAGAGTATTGTCGTGTAGCATCGGATCCTCCTCGTCCCATCCAACTGAAAGCTGCGAAAAGGCTGGTGTTACAGAAAGCTGCTGTGTCTTGACGTGATTCGAGACAGACCTTAACGACAGACGCAGACCACCTTCCAGGATGTTCGCAAAGCGTTACGGCATTTCGTCTTTTCGCACTACCGCCCGCCTCCCTATCACTGACCACCTGCCCTTCCATGATGAAGGGGCACGCTGTCAAGAATTTCCCTGGAGAGAGAAATTTGAAGGAACGCATGAACACAAACACAACGACCACTCGAAATTATTTGGTTGTACAGAACCTTTCGAAGACACATACTCGAAGGTCGTGAGGAGGTCAAACGTTCTACCTTGTAAGAGAGACACTTCGTGCAAACCCCTGAAAATACCGAAAGGATATTCTCAAGATCAGCGCTGCGAGAACTGTTCACTGGGAAGGACGATGCTTGTCCCCCCCAAGCTGCTGCCTCCAACCACTCGTGCGGAACCTTTCCCCAGCTCCTCCCCATCGCCCCCTTCCCGCATTTCAACTCCCCCACTTCCCTGTCCGGTCGCTAGTTTCCATTCCAACCAATCCTGCACTTTCATTGACGCTCTTCCCCATCCCCTCTCGATGTCTCTCTCGTGGTTCTTCCCCCTTCGACCTTTCCGCCGTTCTCGTCAATGGCGGAACCAACAGTAGGCATTTCTGTCCCCGTCCTCCCCAATCCAACCTAATCCAGCTACTGTATTCGGTCGCTCTCGCTGTCTCCTCAAAGCTCTCTAGAGTCACTCGACTGACAATTCGTCCCTGATTTCTCCTCATTATTCGGAAGCTTCCGATACAAACCATATTTTACAGCCTCCTTCCTTACTCGTAGCGTACATTGACCACATCACGTATCAGTACGTACGAACCCTAAAATTGTGAAGGGAGAGCACGTGAGTGCGCGTCCCGGTCCGATAATCTCGCTCCCCTGTCTTCAGTGTGTCGATTAGAAACTATTTCGCGGCGACGCCTATCTTACAGGTACACTTTTGAATGTGTCGCGAAGGCTTTACGCTGTCGTGCAGTTTTCTGTATCGCCGTCTCATTGCCCCGCTGATTCTTCATCTTCCGCTTCCTCGCACTTCCGAAGTCAGCCCAGCTGTCGACTTTATTCTTCTCTGCTTTCTTCCTTCCCTATTTTCAGAGCACTTTTCTCCGGCTTTTAGCCAGAAAAGGCCTTGCTATGAAGGCGCGACTTACACTACCTTTCCCTCGGTTTCCCGAGCCTCTATTTCCATTTTGAGGCACCACAAGCACTCCTTCCGTTCCTGTCCCCGTGCGTCTGTTGTACTGTCGTGGACCCTACAGGGAGCTTCATTCGTCGTACACCGTCTGTAGCTCGCGCACGCGTAAACGAGAACGCACTTAGCGGGGACGCAGCACATTGGGGTTCCCTCGATAATAGCCTTCCTTCGCTTATAGCCTGGATTGGTTTCTTCCACCGGTTCCTGTTCGACATTGTCTTGCCAACTCGGCATTGCAGAATGCTGACACATCATCGCGACGATGCCACGTCATCATGACGGTGGCACGTGAGCACCGATGGCGATACGGACGGCTGCGTATCAGGCGCCCTTTCTTGCCTCGTTGCGGAATCAAGTCTCTTGTTTAAGACTTTCGGGCAAAGCCCACCATTCGTCACTGCAGCATCATCCATCCCTTACAGTCACATCCGCGTTAATGACAGTCTCCTGGCCCTAGGTGCTCGTGAAAGGAAATGCTTAGGCTGGACTCGCACTGGCAGCAGCGGCCTCGTTATGGAGTTATTAGGCTACACTCGATGTCGACGTGCGACACTCCGTTTAGGCTTTCGGTAGACGCAAGACTTTCTTAACTTATTCAGTAACAATCTCCATCTTGTTGTTACCAGCAATTCGGGCAGCAGGGGTTCTAGCAGTCGGCAGCGCCAGCAGCAGCAGCACGCAGCAGCAAGGCAGTATTAGTTGGCGCAGTTGGCTGGTTCAATACAGGTAGCATTATCGTCGAAACCTTCTACAATTCACATCAGCATTTACAAAGCGTATAATAGCGCTTGCAGGCAGATAGTGTTTCAGCCAGGCCGAGCGCTGGGCTCCGATATAAGCACCAGACGAGGATGGGAGACGCGGATCAATCAGACAGCAGCGACACAGAGACGGAAAGGCCATGGTTTCCCGAGCCGCGAGTCAACGGGGCGAATCTTGCCGAGCCTATAGGCACGGTAGCACGTTCGGGACAGTTGGGAGCGCCTCTTGGGATTGCGCATTTGGCATTGGGTGCCGTAACGGCTGCCATGTCAGCATACAGCCCCGGAAAAACGGGGAAGGGGGAAGGGGACGGGCTGCCACGTGTCCGGATGCTGAGCTGTCTACATGCGCTGTTCACGCAATTGCATGACCCGGAACAAGTGGAAGAACCGGAAGGAGGTACGTGGAGTTGGGTTTGGGAGGTACGTTGAGTTAGGGCTACGAGGTATGTAGTTGGGGGAAAGGGAGAGGGGGGGGGTATGTGAAGTTAGGGTTAGGAGGAGTTGTGTGGAGTTAGGGTTACAAGCTACCTGATTTAGGGTTACAAGGTATGCTGAGTTAGTCATGGGAGGAGGGATGTAGTGTTAAGATGAGGGATTACGTGGATTACGGGTTAGGAGATACGTGGAGTTCAGGTTATGGGGTACGTGGAAAGTTAGGTTAGGAAGTAAGTACAGTTAGGGTTAGAAGGTGCATCACACAAGGGTTAGTCCGCAGGAAAGGCAGTGCGCAAATGGCACATGCCTCCCGCCCGCTACTACCTCCCTTTCATTCCACCTGCCGTTCACTACCCCTTCCCCCTCCCCACTCTCTCCGCATACCCCCTGCGCCGCTCCCCGCCCCCTCTCTCCCCGTCTTCGCCTCCCCTCTCCCCTTCTTTCCCTTCCACTAACCCGCACACACTTTTCCTCCACCCCCCTTTCCCCCACCCTGACGACCCCCCACTTTTCCCCTTCCCAAGCCCGGCCCCCTTTCCCCCCTTCACCCGCACCTCCGTTCCCACCTTCACCCCCACCCTCACGCCCCCCACCTCTCCCCCACGCCCACACCCTCCCTTGAAGCAGAGAACGGGCGGGGCGGGGGGAGGTCGCAACTGGACAGCGCGGAGCTGGACGTTCTCGAAAAGGCAGTGCGCATCCTGCACCTGCGCTACCGCTCCTGCCTGCGCCCGCTCACCAAGGGGCGCCTGCCCTCCGTGACCGAGTTAAAGGAGCTGAGAGTCAGCGCTGAGGCGCTGGGGGTGCGGTCTGCCTTGTTGTGCCTCGACAGAATACCCAAGGTGGGTGGGTGGGTGGGTTGGTGTGTCCTTTCCGCCCTCATGCTTATAGTGGGCGTTTGGCGTTGGGCGTGCGGTCTGCTCTGCTGTGCCTCGACAGAATACCCAAGGTGGGTGGGTGGGTGGGTGGGTGGGTTGGTGTGTCCTTTCCGCCCTCATGCTTATAGTGGGCGTTTGGCGTTGGGCGTGCGGTCTGCTCTGCTGTGCCTCGACAGAATACCCAAGGTGGGTGGGTGGGTGGGTGGGTGGGTGGGTGGGTTGGTGTGTCCTTTCCGCCCTCATGCTTATAGTGGGCGTTTGGCGTTGGGCGTGCGGTCTGCTCTGCTGTGCCTCGACAGAATACCCAAGGTTGGTTCCTGTTCCTGTCTGTCTGTGGTAGAAGCAAGCACCCAATGCACAGCACACGCATCACCCCTGCCTACACCCGCTCACCAAGGGCGCCTGCCCTCAGTAACCGAGCTCAGGGAGCTGAGAGTCAGTACAGAGGCCCTGGGGGTGCGGTCTGCCTTGTTGTGCCTCGACAGAACAGATTACCCAAGGTGGGTGGGTGGGTGTGTTGGTGTGTCCTTTCCGCCCTCATGCTTATAGTTGGCACTGGGGCGTTTGGCGTTGGGCGTGTGGTCTACTCTGCTGTGCCTCGACAGAAATATCAAGGTAGGTGGGTGGGTGAGTGGGTGTGTGTGTCATTTATCCTGTCTCATCTCATGCCAATCTGACTCTGGTAAAATCGCCCAATGCCAACACACGCAAAGCACCCAATGGACCCCTCCTGCCCTTCCCCAACCCCTCCCACCCTCCCCCACCCTCTCCCTCCCGCCCTCCCGCTCCCCCACCCCCTCCCGCCCTCCCCCACCGCCCCTCACAATCCCCCCTCTTCCGCCCCACCCCCTACCAGGGCGACCCCCTCCGTCTAGCCCTCTTTGCCTTCCGCACATTCGCCCTGCGCGCCGAGTTGCACTCACAGTGCTCCTTTCCTCCTCCACCCAAACTCCCCACCTCTCTCCCCCCTCCCTCAGGGCGACCCCCGTCGCCTGGCCCTCTTTGCCTTCCGCACATTCGCCCTGCGCGCCGAGCTGGACGCGGAGGCTCTGCGCGACCTAGATGAGCCTCCCCCAGGCAACGCCTGGCCCGTCTCCTCCTACCGCGTCGGCACCCCGCGGCTCAGAGCCCTCCTAGAAGATATGGTAGAGGAGGTGGAGAGTCTATGGAACGCCACGAATAGGACTCTCTATGAGGTTGCTATAGTGCTTGCTCCGGTTCTGGCGCAATATGCGTTGCTGGGGAAGGCGGTGGGGATGGCTATGGAACAGTATTATGCGAGGTTGACTGTGAGGAAGCACGGGCGGGTGGTTATGGCGGTGGGGGATGAGATTATCCTGTGGGACGACGGTTTGGAAGATGTTAGGGAGCTGTTTTTGGCGGAGAAGGCAGCGGATGAGCAGCCGTTGGGGTCGGCTGTTAGGATCGATAGCATGAATGATTACTCGTGGTTCGTTTCGTGGAATGGGACGTCTGCGGTGGATAATATCCCGAGTGAAGTTTCAGTGAAGAAACTGCTCCACTCGATCGGGGCGCCGACGGCGCGGCTGGCGGGGTTGAGGGCGCGGGATAAGGGGCTGCTGATGGGTGTGACTGTACCGGATGTGAGAATAGAGGCGGAGAAACGGGTGCTGGCGCAGTTGCAATGGGTGGTGGACGGTGGAGGGAAGCTGGAGATTAAAGCCGCTCGGCCGCAGCACCAGGCGATTAGTGGGGGCGTGGGGGAACGGGAGGTGATCTCGAGGGGGAAGAGAGGGGCGGGAGGGGGAGCAGGGGCGGCGGCAGGGGGTGGTGCGGGAGGGGCGGCGGGGGCAGGGGGAGGGGGCGGAGGAGGGGGAGCGGGGGGAGCGTTGGGGGGAGGAGGAGGGGGGGATGACAAAGCGCTGCTGAAGAGATCGTTTGCCAAGAGGCTCGAGTCTCTGGATTCAGGTATGGCGGCAAATTACAGTCTACTACCTATCTGAGCATAGGTAACCTGTAGTGTAGACCTGCTACAGTCTCTAAGCAGGGTCGCATGCAGTTCGTGCAAGCTCTCTATGTGGGCTCTCAAGAAGGCGTCTCAAAACCTTATCCCCCTCACGTCCCACCACTCTACACCACACCCCACCCAGGCATGATGAGCCCGAGCCGGCTCATGAAATCCCCTATGAGGATCTTGTGGAGGCCGCCAAGAGCTGGTCGGAGGACCTGCAGCTGGCATGGACGAACCTGAACCAGCCCACGAGTTTCCCTATGAGGACCTTGTGGAAGCCACAAAGAACTGGTCTAAAGACCTGCAGCTGGGAAAGGGGAGGGGGACTCTGTGTTGGTGTACAATGAACCGCTCTCAACCGCTCCCTCTTCCCCACCCGCTGCTCCCTCTTCCCCCTCACAGGCATGGACGAACCTGAACCAGCCCACGAGATTCCCTATGAGGACCTTGTGGAAGCCACAAAGAACTGGTCTAAAGACCTGCAGCTGGGAAAGGGGAGGGGGACTCTGTGTTGGTGTACAATGAACCGCTCTCAACCGCTCCCTCTTCCCCACACACCTTCTCCCCTGCCCTCACAGGCATGGACGAACCTGAACCAGCCCACGAGATTCCCTATGAGGACCTTGTGGAAGCCACAAAGAACTGGTCTAAAGACCTGCAGCTGGGAAAGGGGAGGGGGACTCTGTGTTGGTGTACAATGAACCGCTCTCAACCGCTCCCTCTTCCCCACACACCTTCTCCCCTGCCCTCACAGGCATGGACGAACCTGAACCAGCCCACGAGATTCCCTATGAGGACCTTGTGGAAGCCACAAAGAACTGGTCGGAGGACCTGCAGCTGGGGGAGGGGGGCTCCGCGGTTGTGTTAGGAACCTCTTTCAACCCTTCTTTCTCCCACACATGCCTTATCCCCGCCCTCTCTACAAGCCCAGGCATGGACGATCCTGAACCAGCCCACGAGATTCCTTATGAGGATCTCGTAGAAGCTCCCACGAACTGGTCGAATGTCCTCTCTCATTAGCTCCTCTTCCCCACATACATTCCCCCCGGCCCCCCCCACCCAGGCATGGACGAACCCGAGCCGGCACATGAAATACCCTATGAGGACCTCGTAGAGGCAACCAAGAACTGGTCGGAGGACCTGCAGCTGGGGGAAGGGGGCTCTGCGGTTGTGTATAAGGGCGTGGGGCCGGATGGGGAGCTGTGGGCTGTGAAGAGGGGAAAGAAAGGGGGGTTGACGCGGCTTCAGGACTATCACAGGGAGGTGAGGCGTGGTAATCATGGGATGGGAGGTACGGGGAAACGAATGCAATTGTGTATAAGGGCGTGGGGCCGGATGGGGAGCTGTGGGCAGTGAAGCGCGGGAAGAAGGGCGGGCTGACGCGGCTGCAGGACTACCACAGGGAGGTGAGATGGGCAGTGGGGCAAGCAGGGAGGTGGGAAGGGGGAGGGAGGGAGGGAGGGGGGAAGGCTGAGCATATGTGTGGATATATCCTGTGTGTGGTGCAGGAGAGAGCGTGGGGACGGATGGGGAGCTGTGGACGGTGAATTGAGCCAGTTTCTAAGATGCCACTCCACCCCAGCCTTGTCTGCCACTTCACTCCCTCCCCTCCCCCCAACTCCCCCACTTCATCTGTCCCCAATTTCCCCCACCTCCCACTCTTCCTCCCCTCCCCCCAAATCGAGGCAGTGTCCAAGATGCTTCACCCGAACCTGGTACACAACTTCACTCCCTCCTTTCCTTCCCCCCACCTCCCACTCTTCCTCCCGTCCTCTCAGATCGAGGCAGTGTCCAAGATGCTTCACCCGAACCTGGTAAACACAACTTCACTCCCTCCTTTCCTTTTCCCCACCTCCCACTCTTCCTCCCGTCCTCTCAGATCGAGGCAGTTTCCAAGATGCTTCACCCGAACCTGGTGCGCCTGATGGGGTTCTGCCATGAAAACGACGAGCAGGTGCTGGTCTACGAGTATGTGGCCAATGGCACGCTCAGACAACATCTATCCCCGTTACAAGGTGAGCTCAGTTCCATTATAAGCTTATAATCTCGATATAAGCATACTCGTTACCAACTTATGGGGTTCTGCCATGAGAACGACGAGCAGGTGCTGGTGTATGAGTATGTGGCCAACGGCATGCTCAGACAACATCTATCCCCGTTACAAGGTGGGCTACTTGTTACCGGTACAGTACCCTGGAGATAAGGTGCCTGACAAGATCACACTGAGTAGGTGTACAAGTCGCGGACACCGGCACACTCAGACAAACATCTGTCCTGCATGCTGTTCTGCCCACTCCCCAACCTCTTTTTTACTGAATTCTGTGCAGGCGACACAGAGAAAGGGGTGCTGTCGTTCGAGCAGCGGATAGAGGCGGCCGTGGGGGTGGCGGAGGCGCTGCTGTACCTGCACTCGTGCAAGCCTGTGCTCGTGCATCGAGATGTGAAGAGCCTTAACGTTTTCATGGATGATGATTTGCAGGTGAGTGAGAGGAGAGGTTATGGGGGACATGTGAGTGATGTTGTGGGAGAGTGAGTGAGACGATGAAACCCCAAGTCGATAGGAGACGACGAAAGCGCCACCACACACACTCTTGCTTGCCAACCCTCTCACCCACACCTAATCCTCCTCACCCTCCTCCCTCCTCCCTCCTCCCTCCTCCCTTCACCAGCCGAAGCTAGGAGATTATGGCAACCTCAAGTCGATAGGAGACGATGAAAGCGCCACCACACACACGCGCGTGGTGGGCACGCCCGGGTATCTGGACCCACAGTACTGCCAGACGAGCTCGGTGTCCGTGTGGAGCGATGTGTACAGGTGAGCGGGGGGGTGAAGGGGAAGGGAGTTAGAAGGGTAGGCGGAGGGGGGAGAAGACGAAAACACCACCAAGAGTGCAATGACCCTGGGGATGAAGGGAGGGAGTGGTGGGCACGCCTGGGTATCTGGACCCACAGTACTGCCAGACGAGCTCGGTGTCCGTGTGGAGCGATGTGTACAGGTGAGGTTTGGGGGTTGGCTGAGGGGAATGAGGGAGAGAGCTGGCACCAGTGTGTGAGGACTGGAGTGGGGGAGAAGGGGGAGTGGTGGGCACACCCGGGTATCTGGACCCTCAGTACTGCCAGACGAGCTCGGTTTCCGTGTGGAGCGATGTGTACAGGTGAGGGATGGGGGTTGGCTGAGGGGAATGAGGGAGAGTGCTGGCACCAGTGTGTGAGGACTGGAGAGGGGGAGAAGGGGGAGTGGTGGGCACGCCTGGGTGTCTGGGGTGGAGGGGAGGCCCAAGCTGCTGGTGCTCAAGGAAGCAGTTTCAGCACTTCCTGTGTTGCATCATGTACCTCTATCCTTGCCTCCCATGTTGCAGCATGTATCTCTGTCTCTCCTCTCTCCCCTTGCCCTAAGCCTCTGATTCCAACCCCGCCTCTCAGTTTCGGAGCGGTCATGCTAGAGCTCATCACACCCAAGCCGCCAGTGCTCAAGGAGGCACCTTCAGCACTCTCACTTCTCTCATGTTTCTTCTCTCCTCCTCCTTTTCCCTCCTCCTTTCCCTGTGCCTCTCAGTTTCGGAGCGGTCATGCTAGAGCTCATCACAGCCAAGCCGCCAGTGCTCAAGGAGGCACCTTCAGCACTCTCACTTCTCTCATGTTTCTTCTCTCCTCCTCCCTTTCCCTCCTCCTTCCCCCGTGCCTCTCAGTTTCGGAGTGGTCATGCTAGAGCTCATCACGGCCAAACCCCCGGTGCTTCGGAGAGCAGTGTCTCTCTGCCATCAGTCCCACTCGCCCCTCTTCATTCCCTCACTTTCCTCCCATTTCCCCTCCCATTGCATATGTACATCTCAGTTTCGGAGTGGTCATGCTGGAGCTCATCACGGCCAAGCCGCCAGTGCTGAAAGAAGCTGACGACTCGGGGGAGAGAATGGCGCTCGCCAAATGGGTGAGTGCACGAATGCACCAGTAACTAGTAACTAGTAACTAGTAACTAGAAACTAGTAACTAGTGACTAGTAACTAGTAACTAGTAACTAGAAACTAGTAACTAGTAACTAGTAACTAGAAACTAGTAACTAGTAACTAGTAACTAGAAACTAGAAACTAGTAACTAGTGACTAGAAACTAGTAACTAGTAACTAGTAACTAGAAACTAGTAACTAGTGACTAGTAACTAGTAACTAGTAACTAGTAACTAGAAACTAGTAACTAGTAACTAGTAACTAGAAACTAGTAACTAGTGACTAGAAACTAGAAACTAGTAACTAGTGACTAGTAACTAGTAACTAGTAACTAGAAACTAGTAACTAGTGACTAGAAACTAGTAACTAGTGACTAGTAACTAGTAACTAGTAACTAGTGACTAGTAACTAGTAACTAGTAACTAGTAACTAGAAACTAGTAACTAGTGACTAGAAACTAGTAACTAGTAACTAGAAACTAGTAACTAGTAACTAGTAACTAGTGACTAGTAACTAGTGACTAGTAACTAGTAACTAGAAACTAGTAACTAGTGACTAGTAACTAGTAACTAGTAACTAGTAACTAGTAACTAGAAACTAGTAACTAGTGACTAGAAACTAGTAACTAGTAAATACTTCCATAGAAGCCTCCCACCCATGATTGCACTAGTTATGTCTCCCCAGACTTGATTTTTCCACTCTTTTTCCCTCCATCCCATGCTTCCCTTGTCAATCCATCCACTCCCCTCCGTCCCCAGGCCACACCTGCCATATGCGCCGGCAATCTAGACGCAGTGGTCGACCCCAACCCCACCCAGGCGTTCCCCTAGCAGCCCAACATCGAGTCCTCCTAAACGTAGTTCCTCCACACTCGTTCTTCTACCTTGTCTTGTCTCCCCGTCCCTCTCCACTCCTTCATTCCCAGGCCACACCTGCCATCTGTGCCGGCAATTTAGACGCAGTAGTGGACCCAAACCTCACCCAGGCCTTCCCACAGCAGCCCATGCAAAACTGGCCTAATTCTTCCACTCTTTGTTCCCTTGTCTCTCAATCCCATCTCTACCCCCTTTCCTGAACAGGCCACCTCTGCCATCTGTGCGGGCAATCTAGACGCAGTGGTTGACCTCAATCTAGCCCAGGCGTTCCCCCAGCAGCCCATGCAAACATGTCTTCTTTCATCCCCTCCCTCTGTCCCCAGGCCACCCCTGCCATATGTGCGGGCAACCTAGACGCAGTAGTGGACCCCAATCTAGCCCAGGCGTTCCCCCAGCAGCCCATGCAGGCTTTCGCCAGCCTGGCAGCCATGTGTGTGCAGCGGCAGCCCAAGGACAGACCCAGCATGCAGGAGGTGGTGCGGAGACTCAAGGTCATTCGCCAAGCAGCAGCAGGTGCGTTCGTAGTGGTTCTGTGTGGTGCAATGTGGTGCAAAGTGCTGCTGTGTGCTGTGGTGCGGTGCAGTGCGGTGCTGTGAGGCTAGCAGCCTGGGCAGCCAGCCATGTGTGTGCAGCGATAGCCCAAGGACAGACCGAGCATGCAGGAGGTGGTGCGAAGGCTCAAGGTCATTTGCCAGGCAGCCGCAGGTGCGTTCGTAGCGGTTCTGTGCGGTGCATCGCGGTGGAATGCAGTGCTGTGTGGTGCAATGCTGTGTGGTGAAGTGCTGTGAGCCGGGTGGTCTAGCAGGCACATGTGTGCAGCGGCAGCCCAAGGACTTACTGAGCTCAGTCTCGCCTCTCCTCCTCAGCCCCCCTTCCTCTCATCCCCCTCCCTATTAACCTGCACAATCTGCCACATCTCTCCGCTTCTCACATCCTCTCTCCTCTTCTCTCCTTCTCCCCTCCTCCATCCACTCCCACCTTCCCCCTCCCCCTCCCCTTCCTCCTCTCCCCATGCAGCAGCATCGGTCTCCTCTCCCCCGTCCATCAACACTCGCTCCAACCCATCAGTTCAACGAATCCTTCCCCCAAGGCGCCCCTCCCTCCTCTATCTCACTCCCACTCCCCTCTCTCTTCCCCCCCATCTCCCCCCCTGCAGCAGCATCGGTCTCCTCTCCCCCGCCCATCAACACTCGCTCCAACCCATCAGTGCAGCGAATTCTTCCCCCCAAGCCCGGCAGCCGGGGCTCCTGGCGGGACAACCAGCACCTCACTCCGCCCATGTCGCCGCTCCTCCCCTCCACGCCCGAACCCTCCTACTCTCCCCGCGCCGCTGCCGCTGGCGGCGGCGGCGGCGGCGGCGGGATGAAAGTGTTTAACAAAGAGTTTTGGCGGCCTAGGCGGGCCCCTGCGAGGAGCCTAAGTGACGCGTCTATGCAGGAGATTACCGATCTATTAGAGGAGGAGGAGGGGATGGGTGGGTATGGCGGCGGGACTGATGGGTTTGGTGGGGGAGGAGGAGGTGGGGGTGGAGGGGGAGGAGGGGGAGGAGGAGGTGGAGGCGGAGGAGGGGGAGGGGGAGGGTTTGACATGCTATCTCCGCGGTTACCCTCGTCTAAAACGGTTAATTCCGCGTATTACTCCCAGGAACACCAGCCTTCGAGGCACAGGCTCAGCCAAACGCAACTAGACAAGCAGCAGCAGCAGCAGCAGCAGTCGCAGCAGCTATCCCAGCAGCAGTTACCACCACAGCACCACCACACCTCCCACTTCGCCCAGTCGCCACAGCCCTCCCCTCTTCCTGCCTACATGTCTACGATTCCTAAGTCAAAATCAGCAGATGTACCGGGGGCAGCAGCAGCGGCAGGGGGAGGAGGGGGAGGAGCAGCACATGCGAACGCGCACGTGCATGCGAGAACCAACTCGATGGTGTCACAGGGGGGTGCAGGGGGGTCTGTGCCAGTGGCGGCGCAAGCGGAGTCGAGCAGAGGGCGCATGTATGGGCTGGGGCGGAAGGGAAAGATGGTGAGTGCTGCTGATCGATCATCCCAGGGAATAGCGTGTTGTGAAGGGTGTTGTTGAGGCATGGTTGCTTTTGCGAGTGGGTGAAGGGAAGTGAGAAGCAAACAGAGGGCGCATATGTGGGCTGGGCTGGGACGGAAGGGCAAGTTGGTGAGTGCTGCTGCTTTAATCCCACGGGGCAGCATGTTGAGGCATGGTTGCTTGTGCGAGTGGGTGAAGGGAAGTGAGAAGCAAACAGAGGGCGCATATGTGGGCTGGGCTGGGACGGAAGGGCAAGTTGGTGAGTGCTGCTGCTTTAATCCCACGGGGCAGCATGTTGAGGCATGGTTGCTTGTGCGAGTGTGAACGGGGAAGTCAGAAGCAAGCAGAGGGCGCACATATGGGCTGGGGCGGAAGGGCAAGTTGGTGAGTGCTGCTGCTTTAATCCCACGGGGCAGCATGTTGAGGCATGGTTGCTTGTGCGAGTGTGAACGGGGAAGTCAGAAGCAAGCAGAGGGCGCACATATGGGCTGGGGCGGAAGGGCAAGATGGTGAGTGCTGCTGCTTTTATTCCTCACATGGTGCATTCATTTTAGCACCGAGAATGCTTGTATGGTCAACTGAATATACGGTTGCAACCACAACACTTAAAAAAATGATTGGGGAGTCAAATCAGCAACAGCAAGCACTGATAAAGAGGATATGCTGCAAATTACACTTATTCCTGTTCCTCTCCATTCCCCAACCTTCACCCATCCGCCCCTGCTCTGAACAATTGTTTGTTTTTCTTGTTTTGCAGCAAAAGGAGATGGCAGCATTGGCAAAGCTGCAGCACACGAATCTGGCAGCGATCCTGGGATATGCAGCAGACAAGGAGGACATGCAAATCGCCTACGACCTCCCTCCCAACTGCACGTGCCTCGAGAACTACCTCTTCCCAGGTATGTGCTGTGTGTATGCACAATATAGACTGTTCTGATCACATCTTATAAGGAGGACATGCAAATCGCCTACGACCTCCCTCCCAACTGCACATGCCTCGAGAACTACCTCTTTCCTGGTATGTGAGCATTCTCCGCTTTAACCAGTGATTTGACTACACACAATGAGGAGGACATACAAATCTCTCAAGTGCGGCTAAGTAGTAGTGGTTACACTGTGCTGTAAGAATTTTTCAGTGAATCGTTACGTGTAACAAGGAGGATACATGCAAGCCAAGAAGCTGGTCGTCCTGCATCCATCTCAGTGATCTTACCCTCTTCACTCCCACCTTCCCTCTCTCTCTCTCTCTCTCTCTCTCTCTCTCTCTCTCTCTCTCTCTCTCTCTCTCTCTCTCTCTCTCTCTCTCTCTCTCTCTCTCTCTCTCTCTCTCTCTCTCAAGCAGTCCTTGTATTAGCAAGCAGAAAAGTACAGACATGCGCGGAAGAAAAAGAAGGCACCTGGAACATGTATCGTTGGTACTAACCCCGCCCCTTCATCCCCCTCTCCCTACCGCTCCACCTAAGGGAGCTCCAGTGCCGGCTCCAGGATTGCAAAGCAGTCCCCGAGGGACATGCCCTCTCCCGGCATCCCCACAGGTGGGTTTTCCACCTGTGCCGCGAAGTTGCATTTCGTCATGAAGCTCACCGACTGAGCACGCTGCAGCGCCACGGACCAACGCTGACGGAACTGATGCAGCAGCTTCGTGGCCTGGTAAGAGGAAGGGGGGGCGTTGAAGTGCCTGCGGGCAGCGGTGTCAGCAAGGAGTTTGAGGAATGCGGGGACTTCCGCGCACGGGCATCCGTAAGTCTCGACGGCCAGTGGGAAGAATCCAACCCATGAGGCCGTCGAACCGTCATAGTCGGATATTTTCTTGTCTGCCGCTTCGCGTGCCGCCCAGCCCCTCCCTTTGATCGCATTGGGGTCACGGGTGCTAATGGGGTCCGTGATTGTCACGTCCCCGATCCAAACGGCCCCGGACGAGCGGTCCCGTATGGCGATGTCGGCTTTCTTCCTGGTGACTGGGCAGAATGCTGTTGTTTCGCTGTGGGTCATAAAGCCCGCGTCTTCCGCCATGCGTACACACTCATCACGCAGTTCGTTGTGAGTATTGGTCCGCCCCCCTCCTGTGTCGCAGCGGAGCAGGTGGTTGGGCAGTCTCCTGTCGGTGATTTCTACTTCTCTGCGGCAGTCACAGGCGCCTGGGGCTGAGGAAGGTAAGCCCATCCGGAACTGCAGCGCATGGGCAAAGTGAGCCGGGGCGAGGCGTAGCGAGGAGTTGAAAGGGACTGCGTGTAGCCAGTCCCCTGCCCCGTATCCCGAGAGGGAAAGCATGCGTTGGGTGTGGCCACTGAGGGGGTTGAGCTGCATCGAGCGCGTGTCTTGGACCTGCTCGGCGTAGCGCAGCCCGTGGACTGCTATTGCCAGTCCATGCTGCAGGTTGATGCCCTTGGGCTCAGCCCGTTCGCTCTGCAGCAACTCCTTTCCTTCGTCCGGCAATGCCTCTTCACACCTCTCCAACCAGTCGAAGAGCGGGGCTGTGTTTTCGAAGGGACCGGACATCTGAGCCCTTGTTTCCGCCAGAGCGCCTACTGCTGCCTCGTCGATGGAGGAGAGTAAGTGACTGGCCTGTGTGTAGCTTGCCAGGAACCCAACACGGCCCTCCACCGAAGGATCCGCCAGGCCCAGGCCTCCAAGCGAAACCGGGAGTGAAGCTTGTGCCCAGGTGCGTGCTATCTCGGCTTCTCCCCTCGGGTGGCGTATTCCGCAGGCCGTTAACAGGGTTTCAAACAACCGCCTGCCCCAGTCTGACCACTCCTCAACTGGCAGGGCTGACAGCGGTGTTGTACGGGCCACGTAACAGACGCGGCGGGAAATGCAGCGAGTGAGCAGGAGGGAAGCTAGCTGCGGGTCCATTTGTGCTATCAGGCGGAGCGGGCTACCCATTGCATTGAGGCTGTCACGAAGGAAAGATGCCGTAGCTTCGATCCCGCTTATGAAGCTGCCCAGCACCTTCACACCTCCGTCTGTGAAAGGTACGCCGTGGGGCAAGGCTGCCATCTGCTGCTCTGCTTGAGACCATGCTGCGCATTTGGAAGGGTTGTGGCCCAACCCAATCCCAGAGAGGCTGTCGGTGAAATAGTTGAAAGCCGCCGTACAGTCCGCCGCCTCACCCAAGAAGGTTACGTCATCCGCGTAAGCAAGGCATACGACGGACGGGTAGGCCTGAGCCGTGCGTTTCAGCGCGGGATGCATAGCGGCAGCAAAAAGCAGGGGGCCTAGGGGCTCGCCTTGCCTAACCCCCGTTTCGCTCGAGAGAGGCGCGTGTGAGAAGCCGGCATCCAGGAAGAGAGCAGATGGTTGACCGTAGGAGAACTTATCCAGGGGGAGGAGAGAGGCCAGTGGGGAACCGCGGAGGGAATCTGCAATCGCTGCCCGGTCGACGCTGTTAAAAGCGTTTGCTAAATCCGCCTGAAGAACCAGCGCGTCCGGGTTCAGAGTGAGGTAAGTGCGGGTGATGTGAATGATTGCCTCCGCGCCCCCCGGGACAGCAACGCCGAATTGGTGGGGCAAGAAGAAGTCCCGCGCCGCGCCTGCAGTCAAGGTGAGGGCTGTCTTAGCGGCAAGGCGTAAGAGGCTTTCGCCAATCGCAATCGGCCGCGTACCACCGTCTGGCTTGGTGAGTGCTATTAGGCGGGAGGCGGTAAGGAGATCAGCTACTGCTGGCGGTAGGTTCCCTGTAAGGATGGTGTTGACGAGTGCATGCAGATGTTTCCCCACAGAGGCGTTGACCAGTGATGAATCCCGTAAGTGTTCGAACGTTGTTCTAGAGGGGCCCGCCCCAACTGCCATCTCACAGCGCCCCAACACCTTGGAGAAGATCTCGAAGGGTGCGGACAGGTGTGGGTCTGGTGCCGGGAGTGTCCAGTCAGGTTGAGAGGCTGGTGCAGGAGGATGCTTGGAGCGCAGTGCCTCCAGCACGATTGGGGACGGAGTGCAGACAGGAGTGGCCTCGAGAGCCATTACCGCACGTCGCAGGCTGCCACGTCTGGCGAGCCCCTCGGCTCGTGCGATGATGCCTATGTCATCTGGGTGGTGTCTAGGTGGCTGGGGCCATGACAGGGAGTCCACGGTGTCCTTGTACAGCTTATCCCAGTCTCCCGAAAGGAATTGGGTAAGTCGCGATGTGACTGTGTGCCAGTCAGGTTGCCTTGGCGAGGGTTGGCGAAGTGTAAGGCGTGCGAGGAAAAGGAGTACCACCCATGCAGAATGTGAGTCAGGATCCTTCGCCAGGCGTAGCAGTGGCACCAGCATGGCTGTGGCGAAGAGCTTTCGTTGATCGCGGGGGAGGTGGCGGGAAAGGGAGGCGTGGCGACTGTCGCGCAGTTTCGTCAGGTCCCAAGTCTCGACCCCTGCGAATAGGGCGTCGTCCTTCGCGAGGGTTTCTGGAGATTTTTCTTCGGGGGGTTGGGGTGAAGTGTGGTTACCGTCAGGAACAGTTGGATTTGCAATTCGCGTGGCCGTGGAAGTGTGGGGAATTGTGGTTGGGGCTGGGGGCGTGGCGACATTGCCCAACGCGGCGCGGGTTGGTGTTGGGGGTCCCCTCCTTGCCGATCTCACACCTGCGGTGCCATCTGCAGTGTGGGAAAGTGTTGTTCTTCCTGCTCGGGCCGGATTCTGCTGTTGCACGTCGTCGACAGACTCAGAGCTGGAGGTCGAGTCTGTGGACTCGGCTGGTACAAATTCGGTATCTGATGTGCTGCTATCAGTGCCTCCCATCATATTCGTTAAAGCCCGCCTCCCCGCCTGCTGGTAGACGTTCTCAGGCCCGCCACCGCGAGCTCTCCCTCCGCCGCCTGCCGCTCTCCCTCCTCGTCCTGCTGGGCCCGCTACAGGGCGCTGTCCGTCAGCGTTAGGCAAGGCGCTCACCCGCCGCCACGATGGATCCGTCCGTCGCTCCCGTCCGCGAGTGTACCGCGGAGAGCGAACCTGCTCTCCGCCCGCTTCCTCCTCCGCGTCCCACTGCGAGCGTCCCCGTTGTTCCGTTGCCCGTGGCAGATCAGATACGTCGCCGTTTCGAAGATCAGCGGCGCGAGCTGGGGCGGGCCTCGCCACGTAAGGATCAGACGCGCGAGGCACCCGGCGTGCGCTCCTACGTGGAGGCCGTGGCGCCCCGGGGGCGCTCGCCTCGGCGCCGTTCGTCGGTGACGCGCGAGGATGGGAGGGCGGGCCGCCGCGAGGAACGCCGTGGAAAGTCTCGGTCGCCGCGTCCGCCGCGGTCGCCCCGCTCGCCTCGTTCGCCCCGCCGCGTGGCGTCGCGCAGCCAGTCCCGAGATCGCCGGACGCGTCGTCTCCCGTCTCCTGTTCGCCAATCGGCACATCCTCGTTCCCCTGATCGTCGCGCCTCTCGTCACCGTTCCCCGTCCGCTCGTTCGCCGCGGCTGTCAAAGCGCCAGCGGCTCTACTCTCCTCGTCGCACGGCGCGATCTCCTGGCCGCCAGCGCCGGCGCGTTCCGTCGCGCCAGTCATCACCCGTTCGCTCAAATGCCAGTGGTCAAGGACGACCTGGGCGGCGGGGTGGAAGTGCTCGCGGCGGGGCAGTGCGTCGTGCGCCGTCCGCGATGGATCGTCTTTTCCAGAGGCTGGACGGCGTGGAGAAGGCGCTCCACCGTGTGAATGTGGAGTCGTCGTCTCAAACTGCGCCTGCAGCCGCTCCCGTCGCTCCCCTAGCCGCTCTTCTGCCGCACAACCCAGAGGGGTCCCTTGTGCGTCCAGGCCGCCCGCTGCCCGCGGGGGCGGGTTTCCAGGGGGCAGGTGGTGGGGATCCCTGGGCCCCGTTTGTTCCACCGCGCCCTGCCCTTCCTCCTCGTGATCTCGCCGTGACGTCTCGCCGAGCTCGCTCCACTGCAGCCCTTCCGCCGACGAAGGAAGTGCCCACGGCGACCCTGGCGCGGTTGTGGTCGCTGGCGGAGAGTCTGCATTTTTTGAGTCGACTCAAAAATTGGCGCGGTTGTGGTCGCTGGCGGAGAGTCTGCAGAGTCTTGAACAGATTCTCCTGGAGTCACACGGCTCCATGTCGGTGACCCCACCGAGCACATTCTCTCAGATTCCGCGAGCAAAGTGTCACGCGGCGGCGTCAACACTATTCGCGTACGTGTCGCCACTGCAGGTTGCGCCCTCGCCGGGAGTAGTCTCGGCCACCCTGCTGGCCGAGACGGCCCTGGATCTGAAGACGCTGGTCGCGGTACTCCTGTTGACGTTGTCGGCGCCACCGCGTCAGTGGTCCGCTTGATGTGGATGACCACGCGCGAAATGCTAGGTGAGCTTGAGGCAGACCGCATGTAGGCGCGCCTCTCGCGCGCGTGTAGATCCGCTCCATGTGTGGTTGTCTAGATGCACGTGCAGGCCATTGCTGTAGTCGTTGTCATCCCGAATGTCTTGAGTGTGAAAATCTTGTCGCCCCTCGTGAAAAAACTGAACCACCAAATGAAGAATGAACTGAGAAAGAGGCCGAGCGGCCTTTATATAGCAGGGAAAGGGAGGGGAAGAGGCTAGGAGGGACGAGGCTAAGTCACCCTTGTCTCTCTCTCTCTCGCTCTCGCTCTCTCGAACGAGCGCCGGAAAAAACTGAACCACCAAATGAAGAATGAACTGAGAAAGAGGCCGAGCGGCCTTTATATAGCAGGGAAAGGGAGGGGAAGAGGCTAGGAGGGACCAGGCTAAGTCACCCTCTCTCTCTCTCTCTCTCTCTCTCTCTCTCTCTCTCTCTCTCTCTCTCTCTCTCTCTCTCTCTCTCTCTCTCTCTCTCTCTCTCTCTCTCTCTCTCTCTCTCTCTCTCTCTCTCTCTCTCTCTCTCTCTCTCTTCTATCAGAGGACGCAGAGGGCGAGTTCTTACCGCTGAGAGTGCGGCTCAAGGTAGCAGTGGGGATCGCCAAGGGGTTGACGTTCCTGCACTCGAGTGCAGTGGTGCATGGCAACCTGCTGTCGAGAAATATCATGCTGGATAAGGTGAGAGTCAGTGAAATTTCCTATGGCTGGGTGAGAGTTCAGTGAAAGTTCATGAGGTTGGCTGCGGCTGGGTGAATGTTCAGTGAGTTTCTTCCTCTCACAATGGCCGTTCACCAGAACTTCACTGCTAATGTGCCACAGTCCAGTGAGAGATGTGCGTTTTGAGTCGACTCAAAAGTCACCACGGTCTAGTGAGATACGTGTGAAAGTTTTCCTCCCCTGTGTTGCTTTCTTGCAGAACTTTACGGTGCTGCTAACTGGCTATGGTCTGGCGACCATGCTATCCAAGACAAGCACACGCAAGAACCTCAAAGGTACGTTACACTTTAAGGTTCAATTGGAGTACTTCAGTGCTGTGCTCCAATGTCTCAAATGCGTGCTAGCATTACTGCTTTTGAGTCGACTCAAATGCGTGCTACTAGCATTATGACCGTTCCTTTATTTCTCTTGATTCTTGAGGCACCTAGAAAATTATGACCGTGCTGTTTACTTCTCTCGCTCCTCCCTTCCCTCTCCCCCCCTTCCATCAGGCCCGGACGGCATGGCCAAGGACGCATTCGACTATGGTGTGGTGCTATTTGAGCTCCTCACAGGCCGCAGGGGCGCGCTGGTGGCGGACAGGGAGGGCGCGGACGGGCTCATCGCGTGGGCAGAGCCGCGGATCGAGGAGTACGAGCTCAGCGCTGCTTGCACCGAGCCGACTAAACGCATGGTGGTTCGGATGTTAGATGTTCTGGCCAAGGAGTGTGTTCAGGAGGACCCGAGATGCCGGCCTACTATGAAAGACCTGGTGGTTAGATTATACAGCCTGCAAGAGTCCCTGGCGTCGCAGTGAGGGGTGAGGAGTATGAAGTGGGGGAGTGGGGGAAGGAAGGAGGCAGGGTGGTGAGGATGCCGACCCATTATGAAGGATTTATTTGTGACATTATACAGCCCCCAAGAATCCCTGGCATCGCAGTGAGGAGTTGTGTATCAGGGATGGAGGTTTATTTATGGAGCAGAGCGGTCGGGGTGCTGCAGGTGCCAGCCTTAGGCTTTAGACAACGGAATGGAGGGCGGTACTAAAGCTACAGAAATCTCTCAGAAGGCTACGGGTGACGTCTCAACAGGTTAGGAAGCTGTGGTGGACAGGAGACTCAAAATAGGAGGGAGAGGGGGCTGTTACAGATCCCTCTGGAATTGTTTCAGCAGCTGGATGTGCAGGAGAGAGGGAGCAGCTGCGGCTGCTGCTGACGCTGTTGCAGGAAGGAGTGGTGGGGCAGCTGCTGCTGGTACTGATGTGTTAGAAATTGTATTTCTTTATATAACTGCATATTAGTATAGCTAGTGTAGTATGTATTCTCTTGTTGGTGGTATACCCCTCCTGACCACCTTCCCTAACCCTATATCATGTATCTCTCTCACTAGTCCAACCCCTTCCTTTGGCCAAACTTCTCTCCATCCAAACCCTAAGTTCCTAGCTCTCTAAGTTCCTAGTCCCTACCTTCTTAACATGGTACAGAGCAGGTTCTTTCCCGGAACCTTCCTTTTTTTTTAAGAATTATGGGCCCGCCCGTACAACAGCGCGAAATGCGCTATTTTTTCTCGTCGTGCCCGTTGCGCCCGTCGCCCGTCACCCGTCGCTGCCTTGCCCGTCACGCCCGTCGCTGCGTTGCCCGTCGTGCCCGTCTCTGCCCCGATTCCCGTCCCCCGCGCCCCCCCGTTCCGTCGCCAGCGCCCGCGCCAGCCCGGACCGCAGGCGCCGCCGCCAGCGTGGCCCGTCAGCGCGGACGCCACCACCGCGGCCAGCCGCCACCGCCAGCGCCAGCAGCAGCTACCGCCAGCGCCAGCAGCAGCCAGCCGCCCCACCGCGGCCTGCCGCCCGCGCCAGCGCCAGCAGCAGCTACCGCCAGCGCCAGCCGCCCGCGCCAGCGCCAGCAGCAGCTACCGCCAGCGCCAGCCGCCCGCGCCAGCGCCAGCAGCAGCTACCGCCAGCGCCAGCAGCAGCTACCGCCAGCGCCAGCAGCAGCTACCGCCGCCCTGCCCCCTCCCGCCCGCCCTCCCTTCCACTGCTTCCGTCGTGGGGGGGGGGGGAGGAGGGGGAGATGTGGGGGTGGCGGGTGTGAGGTTGTGAGGAGCCAGCACCTCCTCCCTCCCTTCCCTCTTCCTCTCTCCCTGCAGCACTTGTTGCTGTAGGGGGGGGGGGGGGGAGAGAGGGTAAAGGGGGATGAGAGAGGTTAAGGGGGGATGAGAGAGGTTAAGGGGGGATGAGAGAGGTTAAGGGGGGATGAGAGAGGTTAAAAGGGGGGAAGAATGAGAGAGAGAGAGAGAAAGGGTGTCTTCTTTCCTGTTTTTTACTTTCGTAATGTTTTCTCGTGGTTCGTTCCTTTTCTCCGTCGTTTCTGGGCGTGGTCACCCAGAGTCGCGCACACCGGGCATCCACTGCGGGGGTTAAACCGCAGGCGGGCATTCCATCGTGTGTTGTATCGGTGGGCCCAGCTGCGGCACGGTGACGACTGCACTTAGGGTAGAGCGCCTCTCATTGGCTATGCTTGTATGCAGTTAAGGGGGGATGTTAGAAATTGTATTTCTTTATATAACTGCATATTAGTATAGCTAGTGTAGTATGTATTCTCTTGTTGGTGGTATACCCCTCCTGACCACCTTCCCTAACCCTATATCATGTATCTCTCTCACTAGTCCAACCCCTTCCTTTGGCCAAACTTCTCTCCATCCAAACCCTAAGTTCCTAGCTCTCTAAGTTCCTAGTCCCTACCTTCTTAACATGATGCTGCTGTGAGAGCCGGACTTGGTGTGTGGGAGGCATTCTGAATCGACTCAAAGATAGCCTGTGGCAGTAGTTTGGATGGATGCAGCAGTCGTGCGTGGGATTGGGGCAGCTAGCGAAAAGAGGATGGAGCTGGAGTGTGGCTTGGAGGAAGTGGTTTTGGTGGTGCTGCTGCGTGCATCAGCCATGGCTGGTAACCCACCCTGTTACTATCACACCCGTTACCAGCACATCCACTGTAGTCAGGACATGCTGGTAACACACACCCGGCGATGACAAGGAGAGCTGAATTGTAATAGGAATCAAAGCGGGGAACCAATCATGTGGATGACAACGGTGTCAGAATGAGAAATGGATGATGCATTGATGTTGGTTGGGGTACATATAGCTAACCCTAAGTTTTGTACCCCCTAAGACAAACCTCACTATAGGCTACAACATTTGACACACCCCCATAGCCTAAGTGAGGGGTGTCTAGCAGAACCAAACGAGTACGGTCACAAGACCAGTCCAAGAAACAAAGCTCAGGGTGGATCACAACGTCACCACACAGTCTGAGCACAAACAACAGTGGCCACAAGGCCAGTCCAAGAAGTAACAGAGATATATAGAAAGCAAAGTAAACAGTACACTCAAGTCTAAGCAACACGAGAACCAGTGTCAACAAGGCCTAACTGCACACAGCACCTCTGGTGGTCACAAGGCGGAAGCGCCTTGGTGAAGATGTCTGCAGTGTTGGCCTCTGACTCCACAAACTCAAAGCGAGCCTGTCCACGCCTCTGCAACTCTCGCAGAAGAAAGTACCTGACGTGAATGTGCTTCACTCTGCTCTCCAGTCGTGGCTCTCGACAAAGGAGAATAGACGCCTTGTTGTCAGTGAACAAGGTCGGTGCAGAGCTCGGCCGCTCACCAAGGTCGGTGAGCAAGAAGGTCAACCAACGCAGCTCCTGTGCCGCCATGGCACCAGCGTAGATCTCAGCCTCAGCTGTAGAGGTCGAGACCGAAGAGGAGCGCGTGGACCGCCAGGAAACAGCTCCAGAACCCAGGCTGAAACAGTACCCCTGAGTAGACCTGTGAGTCTCAGCGTCGTCAGCGTAAGAGGAGTCACAGTGACCAGTAAGTACGACAGACTGCTGCCCTCCAAGAACTAGCCCCACGCCTGACGTCGTCGCTAGGTACTTCGCCACCCTCACAGCTGCTGTCCAGTGAACAGGACGGTGTCTCCCTGGCGCAACAAAGCGCGCAAGAACGCTGAGAGGGAAGGCGAGGTCCGGGCGAGTACAAGTCATCAGGTACATGAGGCAACCCACAAGCTCAGCGTAGGGACCACTAGGCTCGAACGGCTCGTCAGGAAAGGGTCCAGTGAGTCTGTGGTCAACAGCAAGAGGTGTGCGCTGTACTGTGGAGTGCTGAAGCCCGAACCGCTGAAGGACCTGCTGCACCATGTGCGACTGTGAAAGTGTAATGGTGCGAGCAGCTCTGTCCCTGGTGATCTGCAGGCCAAGGTAGTGGCGCAGCTCACCAAGATCAGTGCAGGTGTGTCTCTTCTGCAGTTCGGACTTCACGTGTGCCAAAGCAACCCTGTCAGGGGTGGCGAAAACAAGGTCGTCAACGTAGACCAGAACAAAGAAAGGTGTGGGGCCACGACGAACGAACAGCGACGGGTCAGCAGAAGACGGCTGGAACCCAAGGTCAGACAGGGTAGAACGCAGGGTGTCGTGCCACTCACGAGGAGCCTGACGAAGACCGTAAACCGGTCGCCTCAGCCTCCACTGGGTCCCAGGAGGGAAAGAGCCAGTGAAGGCAGAGGGACGACGCAACCAGACCTCCTCGTGAAGACTGCCCTGAAGGAAAGCAGTAGAGAAGTCGAGAGAGTGTAACTCGTAGTCTCTCTGTGCTGCTACGTGTAGTAACACCCGAAGAGTGGTCATCTTCGGGGTGGGCGCGAAGGTCTGAAAGAAGTCAACTCCCTCGCGCTGACTGAAACCTCTAGCCACGTAGCGCGCCTTGAAGACCGGAGGAGATCCCGGTGGCCGCTTCACCCTGTAGATCCACATGCCGTCGACTACGTTCGCCCCCGGAGGGGGAACCTCATCGACGTAGGTGCCTGTGGATCTGTAGGAGGCCATCTCTGCGTCCATGGCAGCTCTCCACTGAGAGGCCCAAGGCCCTGACACTGCCTCAGCGTAAGTGCGAGGAGTCGGAATGTCAAGGGCGTCAGGGTCACCCTCAGGGGCGAGGAGCATGGCACAGAGATGAGGGGAAGCGGCCGCCAGGAACTCTAGCTCAAACTGCCTGTCCTCTAGGGCGTCACAGCCAAGGGCAGACACACCCCCGACGGCCAGAGGACTGGAAGGAGGAGCTGCCACAAGAGCGGTGGCGAAGTCAAGGCGGCGGGTAGAGGCAAACTCAGTGACTGCGGCAGTAAGAGCGGACACAGAGGACACAGAGGCACGAGGGTGGGTAACAAGAGAGGCGAGAACACGAGAGAGAACAGGACGGTACGTGCGGTAGTAGTCAGTGACAGGGGAAGGAAGCGACACAGTGAGGGCCGACTCAGGAGGAGACGGAAGCACAGACGGAGACGGACGAGGTGGACGAGAACAAAGGAAGGCTGTACGAAGGTCAGTGAAGGGAACAGGAGACGAGGGACGAGCACGAGGGGAGCGACGAGAGGCCCAAGTCTGAGAAGGAGGAGGAGACAACGAAGACTGAGAACGAGGGAAAACAGCGGGAGAGGGGTCAGGAGGAGGAAGCGGAGGACCAGAGACGGGAGGAGAGGGGGAGGAGGAAGGAGAGGGAGACGGGAGACCAAGGGTCCGAAGACCCGAGACAGGAGGAGGAGACGGCAGCAGCTGCTGCTGCTGCTGCTGCTGCGGCTGCTGTGGCTGCTGCTGCTCCAGCGGCTGCTGCCTCTGCTGCTGCTCCTGCTGCTGCTCCTGCTGCTGTCGCTCCTGCTCCTCGAGCCGCTGCAACTCTCTCTCCTCTCTCTCCAACTCCAGCTGCTCCTCACGAGCACGGCGAACACGAGCCTGGAACCTGGTCGGGTAGGGGTGGGGGGAAGGAGT